CTTCAGTACATACAAATGACTTTGTATATTGGAAGCGTTCTCTCAAAAGCTTAAATACACATAAAAGACATTTGTATTGTGTGTTGGGAATAATGATTTGAAATTTAGAAATGAACAGAACTTCAATCAGTCTGCAGTGAAGGTCCCTTTTGACCCCAAAACTGATCAGAAGGATTCTATGAATTTTGAAACGACCATTACTGGGTGTTGACATGGGACAATGGGTCAAAGAGGTCAGACACAGATCAGTGAAGACATGTATCCTAATGACTGTGGCTGTTTAAAATACATGTTTTATACTTACTATTATCATCTCTGTTCAAATCTTCAATTTTTTCAAGAGTTACAACTGTGGCTAGGATCTTAAGCATCTAAAAGTTTCGGGTGTGTCAAATGCCTGCGTCCCCCAATGCCTGCCATTGTTTCCAATCCGCCACTGCGTCACCAGAGTTTGCTTTCACATCTGCAGGGCATATCAGTCACAGGAAGCAGACAGATGCCCTAGTGACATCAGGGGCCATCGGAAGGGCGAGAGCAGTGTAGGCCATTTACTATAGAGAGCCCCTGATACTCCCAAAAGTGTCAGAAGTTCAAGAAAACTACAGCACTGCTAAAATGGATACAAACCAGTATAATTTTGTTTGGAAAAATAAATTTTCAGAACAGTTGTTCTATTTTCCAATAGCTAAGGAAGAACTCCAGTTATTTAAAAGTTAACCCTTGCAGCGGGGCTACCCCTCGCACTGCAAGGGTTAGCTGCTAATTTTTCTCTAGGGGCCAGAATACAGAAGATATACTCAGTCCTGAGGTTGTTGACCCTCACCTTAGTCCCCCTCTGGCTGTGGTATGTCCCTCAGCATCCTCACATCTAATGCAGGTGAATGGACTGCATTAAACATGATGATGTCATCTGGGCTTAGACCACCGGAGCCCAGGAGAGAAGAGGCTAAGGAGGCCGGTCTAGCAGCCAAGCGGGATTAAAAATCAGGTGAGTATATTTTTTTTACCTTGAGCCCCTAGATCAAATGAACAGTTAACCTTTGCAATGCACGGTAGCCCCACTGCAAGGGTTAACTTTTTAGATTTCTGCCATCCCTCTTCAGTGGGTTTAAATGATTAACGATTTCGACCATAGTGACCAAAAAAAGTGAAGACAGGAAACACCGGCTCATTAAAATCCTTACTGACAGCAAAGGATGTTTAAAGACACATACACTATAGTAAACCACAAACTGTTTAAAATCACAAAAATCACAACAATATAATTAACACTACTATACATACGTTTCCAGATGGCTCGATCATGAAACATTAATGCTAAAATTAAATACAACCCAAATTTAGATTTTCTTTTTTTTACATATGACATATATACATGTCATAACCAAAATAAATGTAGTCTTTATAAACCTTAACCCTTTAAACCAATCACTATGTTTATTAGATTTTTTTAATGCTATTTTATACATCAAGAAAAGCAAAGGAGAGAGATTGAAGGGTGTGTGGGGGGAGTAGAAGGAAAACTGAGGGAACAAAACAGAGGAAAAAAAAGTATAGAGATAGAGAAAAGGGAGTGAGGCAGAGGGAATTGGGGTTCGGCTCTTCATTTATAAAAAAAAAGTAAGGGTGCAGGATTAAAAAATTTTCATGAATGAACAAAATTCTAACAGTGAATGTGGTCCTCATTCGGGAAATCCCATTCCCAAATCCAATATTAAAATCAAACAAAATTGTGCATGACATTGCTTAAAAAGTCGCTGATGGCATTATTGAATGTTCTGACAAATGTTTTCGTATGAAAATTCATTTGAAAGTCTACCAATGTATGGCCAGTTTTAGGGCTCATGTGTATGGGCATTAAACAATGTAGTTAATATTTATCAGCTTTAACAATCTTTGCCAAGTTTTCTTATATAGTAATTAGTTACCATTTACAGTCCTTCAGAAAATGGGTTATATTCATCTTAGGTTGGGGGGTTGAGATCTATTCTGGAGATTGGATCTAAATTCCTCAACCAGATACACAACAGAAAATGAGGGGAACTCCCTTCAAAGAGGAAATCCTTTCTAAGACTGTTGTCACCCAAATAAGCATTCACCTGTTTTTTCCTTTACTTCCCATTATGTTGACAGCCGCAAAATGTGATTTTCCAACACATGTGGTTTCAGTGACAGTGGTGACCAGGACAAAAGATACATCAGGGCAGAGGATAATTTTGCCCAGCAGGGGATCAGAATACAATAAATGCCTGACAAGGGGTTAATCACTTTACAATCCTACACTAATAAAAAAAGGTTTTAGCCCTAGATATATTTTGAGGTCAGGCTTCAAATCTCAAGCCAATTTACCAGTTGCAACGGCAAATCTGTGTATAAATATGTGAGTTTCAGAACCATTTTCAGAAATGTGCAAAGCCTGATGAAGGGATCTAAGGAGTCCTGAAAGCTTGCATTTTTCAAAATTTCTGTTGGCTAAAAAAGGGTATTACTTAACCTCCAAACTTTGTGCACTAATGGATGACTAACACGGTACAATACTCTACTAATGCCAGGTGAAATTTGTACTTTCAGATCTACGATTTGAAAATCTAAGACCTGTAAGTGAATCCTTCTGCCATATGGTATGGTAAAGTAGCCTTGTAATCTAGTTTGTGAATATTGTATATTACCTATTTTGTTCTTTTATGCTTGTATAGGCTCTTGAAAGATTAACTGGGTAATCCCTAGAAATGTTCAAATTAGATATATTGTCACAGGAGAACTGTAGATATGTGGAAGGCATTGTCTCTGTGAGCATAACACTGAAAACTGTAGACAGCTGTAGTTAAAGAAGAACGTCACTCTTCCAATGCAAAGTTCAGTCTTTTTCCCCATTTACTTTTCGTGCTTTGTTATGCTAGTTTAATACTTACAAACACAGTGGATCCTGCATCGTCCTCCACTCGACAGCTCTCCTACTTCAGGTCCTGTTACACACTCTCATCTTCCTTTTTACATCATAGGGAACCGGCTGTATCTGCCTAACTTTTGAAGCTGCCCCCCGCCCCAATAGAACATGCTGCCAGACATCAAGATCGCATAGCAAAGAAGGAATTACTTCCCAACATTCATAGAAAAATATATAAATAGACACAGCACTAGATCTCTGTCTGTGTGTGTATGAGATCAGGTGCCACCTCTGTTTACTTCTCTATTCAAAAATTGGGGGGAAGTAATGCTTCTTGGGATATGTGACTTTGGTATCCCAGGAGGCATTGGGAATAGAGTGAAACTTCATTCTCACCTAGGCAAGAATGAGGATAGGGCAAAAAAAAAAAGAGGTAAATAAAAACAAATTACAAAAAGGTTGGCTATTTTTTGAAAGTGGAAGATGAAGAATAAATTGGTGCAAAATGTTACTTTGGAGTTAAGATTTGTTTTAAAGTGTATGTAATAAAAATTAAAGAGTCTCAAAGCCAGCAGAGTGCAGAGCATCTTTGTAAAGCACATTGCTATGCTATATAAATGTACACAAGCGGCCACTATGGGACCCGGACCAGAGGGTTGTTCCTCTGCCTCCATCTCTGTCTCCTGCCAGGCAGCCACAGTGTAGCACCATAGTGGGAGAGTAATTTCCTCCTATGGGGGGCATACAAAATTTTGCTATGCATACAGTAGTTGGCCATCCTGAATGTGAGCCCCTAAATGTCATTCAGTTAGGGTTTACATAAACTTTAACTGTAGACCAATGTAGGTAACTACAGACAGCAGCTGGCAATATGTTAACATTTTTGCTGAACACAGTCTAACTGATCACCTCGAAAATCTGTACATGTTTAATTAAAAAGAGCAGGCAATGAATACTGTTCACAGAATTTATTAAAAGGAGAATTATGAGGCGAGTGATTTTCCCTCAGCCTCATAATCTGAGCCGACCTGTGACAATGAAACTGTCACAGGTCGGCTCAGTAGATCGGGAAGTGAGCGAACACATACCGTCGCTCGCTCACTTCTCGATCTATCCCTGCAGAGAGCCGTGACTGTCACTCACGCCTCCCTGCACGGATTCCCCCCCCTGTCCGATCCTCCAGCGCTGACTGGCGAAACGGACGGGCGAGGGGCAGGCACAGCTGGCTCTGCCTCTGGATAGGCAGAGCCAGCTGTCAATCCCACAGCTGGGTGGATCCAGACAGTATTGTTGCAATCCGTCCCGGCTGCGGCGTCTCAGTATACCGCGAGCTTTGGGTCAAGGGAGAACGCTAGTTTGTGTTCTCCCGTGACCCTTAGGAGAACTATCTGGAAAAGCCCTGACCCCATAGTTCTCCTTTAACTAATTTCTTTACATCAGGTGTAGCCATGCAAACTTCACCGCTCTAACTGTGATAAAAAAACCCAGTCCCATTAGTCATGGCAAGACTCTGACAGCGATAGGCCTGACATTCGAGGCAAATGCATGAAGGGATTTGTAATTTCATCACAGCTAGAGCGTCGAAGTTTGCCTACCCCTGATATTATATCATACCAGAAAGGGCTGTCTATGGCAATGGTTTTTAACCAGGACTATTTGAACTCCTAGTGTTACCTCAAGGTGTACAAGGGGGTATGTGGGGAGCTGCAGTCAAAATAGAAGTTTTTCAATCCACTCCCTCATCTCTGAACAGGTAGGGACTTTGGTTGTCAAACCTGGACTGTCTTTTTTATTTTTATTTTCTCACTAAAAAAACAAAAGCTTAATTTTCCCCCTAGAGACCAGTAACAGAGCCAATGAATGTAAGACCTATGTTTATTGGTACTTGTCCATGTGCTTGTCAGCATAGGTCCACTGTTTCAAGAGACAGACACTCAAAAGGATGGTGTAGCCCCACTCTGAAAACACCAACCTAGTTTCAAAAGGCACCCGTGCAACAAACCTGTCTTTTACTTACCAGTGTAAACAGCAATGATTTTTAAATCTGCTGGACTGAATGGTTACCATTATCAAGTAAATACATCATCTTTATGTAGTGTTAGAATAGTATTACCTGTCGAGGTGTCCTTTCGGATTTGCTTCTGCACCACTCCCAGTCTGTGAGTTCTGGCTTGTGGCTTTCTTCATGTGATAGCCTCCTATCTTGGCCTTCATAGAACACAGCCTTATCAAAATTTCTAATATCCTCTCTTTTGAAGACACCAATTTTCTCAGAAAGCAGACGGTCAATGGCCTTGTCTTTTCCTTGGTCAGGTTTCGTTTCTGGGTTGAGGTTTCTAAGCATACTGGGGTTTTTCAGCATGGAGCTGTCCTGCATACCTATAGTGCTGAAATCCAGCACAGCCGAATTGAGGATTCTGTCACAACAGGCGTCATTTGTGTTGTCACATTCATAGTTGATTAAATTATGGTAGGATATGGAGTTTTCTGCAGTCTCATGATTATCCTGGGATATCTTGTAAATCCCATAGCTTTTATTAAATGATAAATTGAAATCAAATCCTCTTCTCTTAACTAGGAAACAAAAGATTAAAAAACATGTAAATAAAATAGTTTTTTTCATTTCCCTTGTCTTAGAGCTGTATAATTTCACTAATTGTGTTACCAGTACACAAAAGGAACCATCATCCAGAAAGGTTTTGTTGTGTTAAAATAATATTTACTGGCACACAATATGCCTTCTGTGCCAGTTTTTCAGCATGTACCACAAACTCCTTACTGATTGTAATGTTACTAATTCTCCAAACTGCTCAATGATACCCTGATAAGTGGTTTAACAGTCCATAGTTCAGCAGACCAATCCAGTACCATAGCCCTTTAGCAACATCTAATGCAGTCCAGAAGAGTATGATGGTGTATTTCTCAGACATGGCATGATAGAAAGGAGGGGATGAAGATGCTAGAATTGCAGGTAAAGTGTGCAGGAGGCCGTATTGATAGTGACTGATTCTACACAGGATTTTAGGTGCTATATGTTGCAACCCTAACAGAATATATTATCAACATCCTGAATCTCTTAGTAACTACAAGCGTCTCTGCACAGAATCATGTTTATACAAAGGGAAGATAATTTGAGAAACAATTTACAGTTAAATACAGTTTTTATTTAGCAAATTATGTACTCTGCAGCCTAGCACTCCCTCAAAACCTTTAGATTTTTTTATTGAACAAGTATTTTGTGGTCACACTGACCTAAAGCTTGTAGTTTTAGTTTGTTTCTTGGTTCTTTTCCCTAATTAAAAAAAGTGTGAGGACAACACGAAAGAGCAGGCATTATTGGTTGCAGTTCCTGATTAAGCATGTTTTATTGGACTCAATATATATTTTTGGAATATATTGTCTTAATCAATAGCCATCCCTGTTTACAGTTTTATTACAATGCTAAATCTAATCCAAATAAAATTAATTGATCCCACCTTCTATTGGTTCTAATTATGAATGTGGAGACACATGACAGAATGTCTTTTAAAGGAGCAGTACTTAGTAAGCAAAATTATCCAAGAATGTATTTTTACAATATGAATAATATTAGTGGATGTCACTGACAAGCAGGCTAAAAGCTTTATAAAAAAACAGGGCAATATATTAAAAAACATTCATTTTGGTTTGGTTTTTTTCAAAACCCTTGACATAGTGTTTGAATTCTACTAGTGTAATTCATGTAACTTTATCTATTAACTGCAATGTCACATAGTAGCTGGAAGTACCTCCCAGTCCTTTCCCTTCCCCCTGGAGGTCCCCCTGCATTAATTAATTTATTTGAATACTTACCATTGTCATATGTGTTCTGACTGGTCCCATGGAGCTGCAGGGTCCTCTTCCTCTTGCCCCTCTTCTCTGGCACTGGGCCGTCATGAACAATGTGCTATTCTCTGCATCACTTTATGTTAGTGCATGGTGCCATAGTGACACACCTCATGGGGAAGGCCCATGATGCCCTGAATTTACCCTGCATTCACAGGAAGTAGGTTGAATGACACTGAGCATTATTTAATCTGGACAAGGACCGGAGCTGGATCACAGAGTAAGTCTGCATGAAGGGCAGCGCTGGAGAGGATTGCAGCAAGAGCAGCTGCTCCTGTTCTTAAAACTGCTAGTGGACTATTTTAAAAATATTTTTTTTAGAGTTGGACTTTAGAGTTTAAGTAGAGTTACACGTTAGGCTAAGGTGAGGAGGGAAATTTCAGAAAGGAAAGAGCTTGAAACCTAAACTTCATGAAAATTGTATTCTCGAAAAGTGTAATTTCACCACTGGTTTGCAGTCATCTCATTGTCAGTGTGCTGTAGATAAGGTGGTTAAAATTAAACCATAGCAAGATATTAAAACTGCCCCTGTCCTTTTTTTTTTTTTTTACTTTATTGAAATGTCACACAATGACACTTCACTCAACTCGGTGGTGCATTGATATGTGTCAACACTAAACCAAAACATAGCACCAACCGTATTAAAGTCTATGGGAGCCAAGTCTCGTTATTTTTTCAAGCTTTTGTCAAGGCAAATTTGCAACCATTTGTTAAACTGCCATGGTGGACATGAAGATGTCTAGCATGAAAAAATAAAAAGAAACAATTACCATTTAGTGCGGAGTGGGTCCTATATTGCAGCTTTAAAAGCAACACTAAAAAAAACTTAGATCTTTTAAACAACATGCTTTAGGGGTGCTTTAAATCTGCATGTGAAGTTGTCCAGCAGTACTTCTTAGAAGGCCACGGTCAAGGCCTGGGATCCAGGGTGACATAATTGATCAAATATGGTCATGACCATATTTATGCAATGACATCACTTGGGGTCCCTTCAACTGAGTTTGCAGTCTAGCAGTACCGGGGACTATTGTGATGGGAGTAGTGGCTTATCAAGACTGAAAGAGATCTTTATCGCAGGACATGAGTGGCATTGGATTTATATCAGAAGACATTGCTTATTATTTTTCTTAATACAGGACTTTATAAAAGCTGTGGGTGTGGTTCTTATTTAGTATTTCCTTTTTTTAAAGTAATCCCTTTTGGGTGACAGGTTGTTGGAATAAGGCTTCACTGCTCCCTCTTCCTTGCAAGGTACTTTCCCAATTTTGACCAATGTTGAGAGCATGTGGCCTAGTATGGTTTGGGGGAGGGGTGCACACTTGCTGCCACCTCTTTCCTGGTCAGCAAGGCAACATCACTGGATAAGGGTCTTTTATAATTTTTTAGAGGGATGCCATGCCAATTGTTTTTTTTTTTAAAAGGTGTTAATGGGCTCTTTAAGAGAAAAAAAATGGCAAAGGATCCCCCTAAATTAAACCAGACCCTTATTCAGTCATGCAATGTGACTGGCCAGGACAGGGTGGTGGGGAGTGTGCCCTTCTGAACCATTCCAGGTCTCATGCCTTCAACAACTGGAGGGTACCTTGCAATGAGGGCATATGACGAAGCCTCCCCCTCCCTCTTGCAAGGCACTTTGTCCCCATGTTAATAGGAGCAAGAATCTTATTCGGACATCCTGTCCCCCTAAAAAGATGTGGGGGTCTGCGGGGGGAGGGGGAACTTATAGAAATCTGGAAGCTCTCCATTAGATCCAGGGGGGCTCCCAGATATCTGCTTCGCCCTCACATGAATAACTACAGAATGCATTCACAAAAAAGGAAATAGCAAATCACCCACACCATAGAAAAAGTATTTCATTTAAAAAAATAAACAAATCTCCCCCAATGTAAATCCAATGTCAATAACATTGTTTAGTGACATAGATCCATGTCAATCACGATGAACGACAGATGACCCCTCGACATGGTGACCCATGTGCCATGACAATGCTGTCCCACCTCTACTCCTGTGGCAAACGATAGCTCGCTGGAAAGTAAACTAGGGGGTCAGGGATCCCGGATGTAACTGACCGAATGTGGTTATGAATATGTTTGGTCAGTGATGTCATCCAGGATCCCCACCACTTTGTTTACATTCCCGCGAGTAAATATGGTCATGACCATGTTTGGTTAATGATGTCCACTGGGATGCCCTCCATGTAAATCTGTTTATATTCCAGTGAGATAATGTCAATTAAATTGTTATGCTTCAAAGAAAGGGATTAATGGATTGGTTTAGAGAATGTATTCATCCACTGAGGTAATTGAGGTAATGTAGAACAAGACTACACTCTACGCTTTATGCCTCAGACATGATGTGACATCAGATGGAGACAAAATACACTCAATATTCTCACCATGAACTTAGCTTTTGAAATGAATCTCATAGCCAAAGGTCTTGTTGTCCATGTTCGTACATAAATCTCATGATTAATTGCTTTACAGTGTAGAGTGTACTACATTGTAATTATTCCAGTAACATGATAATTACAGGATGACCAGGGTGCATGTTAATTTATATTTTCTTACAAAACTGAACGTAATAACCTTTTAAAGTACAAGCTCTGATCCTTGGAGGTCATTTCTTGTTGAGAACTGTAAACTTTCTGTCCTAATATATACCTAATCAAGTTAGATCATTTTTTCAGTATAATGTTGTTTTATGCCAGGAAACATATTTATAGTGAACTTCTACTTTGCCCATACTAGGCAAAGTAGTAGGCTTACTTAACAGAAGGGACTAGACATGCAATTTTTTTTTAGTTCCAGATGGATATTTGTACAAATTTCGTTACATTCAGACATTTGGATGAATCCGGATTTCCGAATGCAAACCAAACTGAATGCAAACAAATACGAATGTTCCTTTTATAGGAATGAAAAAAAATTGTTTTTTTTGGCTGTTGGGGATTACATTACAGACATGGTCATGTCACTTTGTTTTGAAACGAAATCCAAATAATGAACCGAATCAAATTTCGAATCCAAAAAACAAAAGATATAAAATTCCGAAATGAAACAAATTTTTCAGAGGTTACATGTTTAGAAAGGTCCTTGAAGCAGAAGTGTTGTTGGGCTATGGACATTCAAATATTTATATTTTGTTAACAATTAAATACATTTTTAAACAAGCCCTCACTGACCACTGTAGCTACAAATACATGGAGTAATTTATCCTCAAAGTATGCAGCTCAAGTTTTACTTTCTCTCTTTAGCTTTGCTTCCCCTCCCAGCAATGACTTAAAGTCGTAAAATAACTGTGTTTAAAACTGAGGCTGCTTAAAGCGGAAGTACACCCTTCTATTCTTTACAGTTTTTTGGCCATAGTTCTCTTTAGGGTCACAGGAGGACTATGTCATCCTGTGACCTAAAACTCAGCATATAGTGGGCTATTGCCTGCTATATGCTGACAGTGCAATATTGCCAGCATCCACACAGCCACCTGATTGACAGCTGGCTCTGCCTCTCCGGAGGGGAGTGGTAACTGACAGTCACAGCTCTCTGCAGGGAGAAGACTGGGAACTGAGCGATCAGTGGTATAGGATTGCTCAGTTCTTAATCTATAGAGGCTTTGCAACTGTCCCACGTCGGCTCTAATTATAGGGATGAGTGTATTTCACCCTTCCAATAATTCTCCTTTAAGGTGCGATCTTTGCCTCTATTTGGATTGGAGTTGCCATGATGCTGCACACGGCTATTAAAACTCCGCCAACTGAGTAGAGGAGCAGAGTCGAGAGAGAAAGTTCTCTCTCAGGTCTGCTCCTCTGCTCTGTGGGTGGGTACAATAACCTGCCTACTGCTTTGCCTAGGAAAAAATACATGTAAGGAGATACAATGTGCATATAGGAATGAGCATATAGATGTAATCACTGATACTAATGGGATAGCAATGGCTACATTTATATGCTTGTGCCCTAAAAAATAAAAAAAAATACAGATAGATTTGCTGTATGGAAAGAGCATATCAATGTAGCCATTGCTATCCCATTAGTATCAGTGATTACATTTATATGCTCATTTCCTCCAGCAATCTCTTGTGACATTGTATCTCCTTACAACATATATTTATTTCCTATGATCCTCAGCTCCATCTAGTGCCCATAATGGGGTATTTTCCCCATTCACTCTGTTCTGTACGAATGTATCTATTGAAATACATTCGACCAGAAGAGAAATTACACTCAACAGCTGGTTAACACACAAAAAACAAATGTACACGCAGTTTCTCTGGACAAATAAGCTAAGCAATGTTTTTATTACTAGACCCCTATGCTTTACCGATGTGAGTTTGCAATATGTGACATCCACAGTTGAATTCTTGGTTATATAGGAGGTAACATCATGGAAGGAACACATGGGCTGCTGTTGCTAAGCTCCATTTGAAAATGCTAATTTCCTGGCTGTAATGCTGATCCTCTGAATTCAAACTTTCAGTGTCACTGACTCTGCAAGTATCATTGTCTTGCTTTACACATACTTTAACTGCTGCATACTTGTTCCAAGTTAATATCTGTTAATGTTTGCTATGAGAAAAAACAAGTCATTTGTTAGATGGCATGTACGCATTTACACTGTGCATGACTCCAGTGGGTGTTCTGCTAACTTTGTTATACTTTGCATTGTTTGGGGGGGGGGGCACTTTCACTGGTGTTATAACTCTAAGTGTCTGGTATTGTGAGCCATGCTCAAGAATACTCTTCAGTATGACATTACTGTATTAGAGACTCTTTCCCTAATGGTTATGAGTCATGCTATATATCATGTTCATATAAAAGTGCTCTTGTATACATAGTATCAGGAAATAAGCAGGAGCAAGCAGTGTCACATAATCGGCAGGGTAATTCAGTACAAAATGTTAATGGAAACACTGGGAAATAAGATGATGAAAAATAAGTAAGAATACATAAATTATACCGCAATTAGAAGCGTTTTTGTTGGCTTGTTATAATAACAATGTCAGTTGCATCTACTTTAAAAAAAATAATAATATGCCATTTGTAGGATGGAATGTCACGCTGCAATGGTTAATCTATACTTACTATTATAGTATACTGAAAAACTATACTAGTATGTAGGCTATAGTAGGTAAAAGAAATGGCAACATCATTTGTGAGCTGTATAGGTATCAGGGCCATTTCCCTGCCCTTACACTGCCTGTTTTGTTATGTTGTCCATGACAGTCAAATACATGCCTGCAATCTGAATGGCTGTGTAAAGTAACATGGAATTAATTGTAGGAAGGTCGAAAGGTAATCTTGTACCACTGGCTTGCCCACAAGCTAAAACTCATTTGTTGCTTGTTTTTTCATCTTCTAAATGGCCCAAAGGGTTGCTTACACAAGAAATCATGTTTTAACGCATGCATTACTATGCAACATTCCATTGCATTCATTAAAACTCCATTTGAATTAACTTCAAATTGAATCTGTCAATGAGTCATTTACCAGGGCCGTCACATAATGGAGGTAATAAGGTAATCAACCCTGTGTAAATTCAGCACTGACCAACATGGATTTTACACAGGGTGTAGACTCAGGTCTTCTGCCAGAAATTAGAGCAGTGCAGTGTGCAGAAAGTATTAGTGTGTGTTGGTGGGGAAGGGGGGAGTCTGGGAGCTATCAAGATAATCTGTTACTTTGACTTCAATTTGCAAAGTGATCGGTTCTTTTTATGACAACCTGTAGGCCAAAACATTCAAAATGTAGCCTTACTTTGGTGGAAACAGGCACTATGGAAAACAATTGTCCTGTTGTCCATACATTTTACCAGAGGTGGAAAATAGAGCAAAATACATGACTATGGGGATGTGATCACTGAATGTGATCACTGAATGTGATCACTGAATGTGATTTTAGGAAATGTAGGTCAGTGTGGGTGCTGACCTACAGATAATGTAGACCTACCATTGAACTGTATATTTCATCATTTAAGAGGTTTTTAACTGGACTACAGATTTGTCAAATCATTCCCCACTCTACCCCTATATCTTCTTTCTCGGAGAGTCTTTGTCCTTCTTGGAATTAAGTAAAAGGAAATTTGTTTGAGAGGGACATAAGCAGCAAAAAAGAGATTCATACTCATCCTCATTCTACCTAAACGTAAAAAAGTTCAAGCTGTTGAAAAACTTTTAAATATACAATAATTTAACAAACCTGCAAAACATGAACAGGCATATTCTCTAAATGCGAAGACATCATTTTACCATTAGTCATGGTGTTAAAGCTAGTGGGTTTAGTATTGCATGATGAAACCCACTAACTACAATAGCAGACATAGAGGACTTTAGCACCATTTATCAGGATTCTATTAATGTCCTGCCTTTATGATTGAAAACAGCTTTATACATTTTGATTCTAACTTTTTTTTTCTGTTGCCTACTACCCATGAGAAGATTTTAACTCCTCTTCTTGTAGTCTACCATTATCATGAACTCCATTTGCCCTGAACACATAAATATGACAAATAAATATATATATTCATTATGCATATAACTATCTAGAATAAAATGGACTAGTCTCTAACCTTGGCAATCTTCCGATGACATTGAGCATGCACTCCTCTTGCAGTTAATGATGCAGCCACATGGGAGGTGACTCCAGTGCTCGGACAGAACAAACAGCGGAGTGGTGGTGGCAGCTAGCAAAGTCAGAAGAAAACCTAATGTCTCAAAAGAATGACTTTGAAAGCCAACAATGTGCTGGACAGCCATCTGTATCTGTAAAGCAGAGATTTAATACAATGAACTGTCCAATTTACAATCATGAAGCAAGAGATAAACTACAACAATGGACTCAAAATATCAAATGGAAGCATGTATAATTGTCTTATGGTTTCTGCATTGGGGTTAATTGTATTTACGGATAATTTTAACTAAAATGTAAATATACAGTATTTATAGATAGAGTATGAAGGCTGAAATTATCCATGCAAACACCTCTAAGCTGTTAGGAAATCTGTGTTTGTTTGTTGAACGGTATAACAGTATGTACCAAGGGGGTTTTAGGGATTGTATACACAATTGAGGTCTATTTAAAGTGGTGGAATTGCTCAGTCAGTGTTTAGTGCTCACCTGAACAAGAAAGATTATTTAAAGAAGGCATTTGGAAAAACAAAACTTGCTGCTTCAGTATAGACAGATGCAACAGCTAGTGTCTAACTAACTGTGACATCACATTCATTTGGCTTAATATACTATTACTTTCCCAGGCATCGTGGAGTGATTGGCATGCATTAGTAATATGCACATAGCACCCTACTTTGACACCTGTGTGCAAAGGGCTAGTGCTATTATCATATACCAACCTCCTTCACATACATGCTGTTATGATAGACTATGTACAATGCCTTAGAGCAGCCTCCCTTAACCCTTTTATCTTCGAGGAACCCTTGAAAAAAATGAAGATCTCAGGGATCCCTTGAAATAATCTTCTCATCTACAGCTCGAGGTATGTTAGTGTGATCAGTGAGTTATAAATATCCAAATAAATATGAAGGTACAGGTGAAACTCGAATAATTAGAATATCGTGCAAAAGTATTGGCAGTAATTGCTGCAAAAGGGGCCCAAACCAAGTACTGAGTACATATGCATGCTTGTACTTTTCAGAGGTCCGATATTGTTCTATGTACAATCCTTGTTTTATTGATTGCATGTAATATTCTCATTTTCTGAGATTGTGGATTTGGGGTTCTTGGGGTTTTCATGAGCTGTAAGCCATAATCATCACAATTATGACAAATCACGACTTGAACTATCTTGCTTTGCATGTAATGAGTCTATCTCATATATTAGTTTCACCTTTTAAGTTGCATTAGTGAAATAAATGAACTTTGCACAATATTCTAATTATTCGAGTTTCACCTGTATATAAAACAAACGCAAATGCTAATAAAATATTAAACAGAATGGCATATTAAATATTTGAATCACAGCATAACAACAAACATTAACTTTGCATTGGTGCTCAGTGGTAAAACTAACTTTGCATTGGTGCTCAGTGGTAAAACCAACTCTGCATTGGTGCTCATTGCAAACCTCACTCTACATTGGTATTTAGGTCAAACCTTTAAAGTAGAACTCCATGAATTTAAAAACATACCTTACAGTGGGGCTACCCCATGCACTGCAGGGGTTAAGTGCTCGTTTTGTCTAGGGGGCTCAAATAATGCAGATATACTCACCTGATTCGTGGTCCTGCGGCAGTTGGTACTCATCCCTTCCGCCCCGGCTGTAGAGTGTACCTCAGTGTCCTTATGTCTATTGCAAGTCAATGGACCTGCATTAGACGTGATGACATCAGCAGACGTTAGACCACCAGAGCCCGGGGAGAAGAGGCTGCGAGCATCGACCTATCAGTCCAGCAGGACCAAGGATCAGGTGAGAATATCTGCTTTATTTAAGCCCCCTAGAAGAAACAAGCATAGGTAGCACCACTGCAAGGGTAGGGTTTTTAAATTCCTGGAGTTCTTTTTTAACATTCCATTAGTATTTAGGGAAAAAAACGTTGACAGAACTGTCAAAGACTGCTTGAAAATAGAGGCCATTAAAAAAAAGTGGGTATTATTATTACCATTGCAAGTGGGTAAACAAGCAGACATTCTGTAAACTTTGATGTGGGATAGGGAATGTAAAGCATGTTATATAGAATAAAGCAGTTCAGATCAGGGGACATACAGCATGGCATAAGGAATAAGGTGGTGTGGAATAGTGAATGTAAAGCATGTCATACAGAATGAAGCAGTTCAGATGAGGAGTCATACAGCATGACATACAAAATAAGGTTGTGTAGAATAAGGAATGTAAAGCATGGCACACAGAATAAGGGAGTTCAGTATTATACACACTCAGGGCCACTAGACCCACATACCTTATTAAGTCCCCATTCACACCTAGGTGACAGCGTTTTTGCTTGTTTGTATGTGCATTTTTTGGTGCATAGTTTTGCACATTTTTGTGCATTTTCACGCCCATGCATTAAGACACAATTTTGTGAGCAGATTGTGACACATTGATGTAAATGGGCAAACGTGCGTAAAACACGTACCTAAACACACCACAATCTGCAAAAGTAATTGTGTTGCACATTTCCAAGCGTGTCCTATTGAGTCTATGGGGACAAAACTCGCTGTAAGGCGTTTTTCTATGCGCAACACTATGCTCAGGTGTGAAAAGGGGGCTATAGAATTACATGGGATTTCTTGTCTTGTGCGTTTCAGCGCGCACAGTTATGCGTGACAAAATGCCATGGTGTGACGGGGTCTAATACTGAGCTGGGGGGATTTAGTGCCCACCTGTCCCCAACTCAGTTCTCCCTTGGGTTTAAGCAGCTGCACAGGGACTAGAGCATTAAGTTCTAAGGCCTAGTTCACACTAGGTGTTTAATTGAACGGATTCAGTCGTGAAATAACGCGCTAAACACAAAAATCCATACAAGTCATTGGCGACAGACCTTAGCGTTGCATCACGCGTGCAATTTCGCCTGCTGTGCAACAAGATGCAGGAGCTATTTTCAGGCGGATGCTGCGCGGTTTTTGTCCCATAGAGATTGCTATGCATTGAGAACCGCATGATTTTCGCGCGTTTTTTAAAAGCAAGATTGCAGAAAACAAAAATCTACTAGGTATGAACCAGGCCTTACAGGCACCATTAGGCACCTGCACTTCAGCGGTTTTGTTTGTTGGTACTTTTTAGACAGTTAAAGTTGAGTTAAAAGAATCCCGTAAGGGGAGAAGCATGTACACTGTCATTGCTGAAGCAATCAAAGGTCATCTGAAGCCTGCTGGTCTGTGAGCTCAGCTGGCCTCATACACTTTCTCTCGCTCTCTCAGTTTGCAGTGTATGCGATTAACAAGTAGACGGGAAGCAACTGTACTTGGCACTACAAAGTGGTAGGTTAAAACAAATGAAATTAAAACCAAAAATGGGAAAATATTAATGCTGCATAATTAAGCCAGCACAGTTTTAACAATTAAAGATGGATAATCCAGATTCTTGCATAAGCCTATTTATGATAGTTTCTCTTTAAAGGATTTGTGCCCATGCTACTGACTTTCAACCCTCAGCTACACACTAGGGAAAAATGTGGATCATATCATTCGAAGCAGTATAATAATGACTTTGGTAAGTGACATTAAAAGTAAAACAGAACATATACCACATACCTGCTGAACATAACCACATAACTTGCTTTCTTTTTCTTGGGGGTGGGTTTAAATGCTAACACAAGTCATTTTATCTGTGATGATGAAACTATGTTGTTTGTAAAGCAAGAGAGGGTTAAAATAGAAGTAAACCCTAAATTGATGACATTTAAAGGGTTATTCACAAAGCTGTCGAAGGCAGCCGAGTGAATAACCCACCCAAAGTGAAGTGAGCCGAACGCTGCTCGGCTATTTGCTTCGGGCTTGTACAGCCGATTTCAGCCGTATATCGGCTGAAATCAGCCGTACATCGGCTGACTTCGGTTCAGCCGAACATGAACAACATGTTTGACTGAGCCGAAGTGAAGAACACGTTTGACTCAGCCGATCCAACATCTGGATCGGCTGAGCCGAACCTCCGGCAGGCTACACGCTGCCGTTCGGCCTATTCTGGCATTCGATTCGGCTATTCTGCTCGGTACCTCTGTGGAAGAAATCTGTGAAAAAAGTAGAAAAAATAAAGTAGAAAAAAAAAGTAGAAAAAAAAAGTAGAAAAAACAAGTAGAAAAAAATGTTTAAAAAAATGATACATTTAAGAAAAAAATTAAAATAAAAGGTTTCTGTAAAAAAAGAAAAAACAATTGGACGGAGCTAGCAGTGACAGCTAGCTCTGTCTGTTTCCTATTGGCCGGGACCTGCTAGAGCGAGCGGGTCCCGGCCAATGAATAACAACTGGGCGGAGCCGGCCGTGATCTCACGGCTGACTCCGCACAGCGTCAGCTGCAAGGCTTTCGGCCGGCCAATGGCCGGCCGTTCACCCCGCTTCGGGTGTTGCTTCGGCCTGGCCGCTTGTAGCACTCTTGTGACAGTGTGACAACGCATGGAAGCAACTGGGAGACAATTGTAACCCTCTAACAGGAAATGCCTACACAAGGAAGTTCATGGCAGGATCACCATGCATTCTTTTAAGGATAGCTGCAGAAGACTGAAAACAAGTAGTTAGTAGTTTGGTAGTTACATAAACATGTTAAAGCTTCTATGAGATTTTAGTGATTGGGTTTAGATCTACTATAAGCTGTTCTACTTCGTTTCTAAAGTTGATAAAGGAAGAGTCTTTGTGCGTTGTGCAATGAACCAAACCTCCTATATCCTTATTGCTTTTTTACACCTGTGTAATGAGGTGTTACTATAGTGATTCGATAAATGCTGAGTAAATCCATCCACCCAATCCATTTCAATCCAATGTTGCCAGACTACTGCTATGATCAACAGAAGAACAGGAGTGACAGTGCCCAAGGGATGACCGGTCCCTTTTGTCTTCCTTTCAGGGTAAAGCAACACTTGTGTAATATTAACCACATACTGCTGGTTTTTATTTGCCACTACCAGGGTCCTGGAGGGTAAAAGGACTTTGCTTTTGAGTGGTGACTGGCTAAATGAATGGTTACTAAGAAGGTCCCCCGGTTGAAATCTAGAAAGACTTTCTATGCCTAATGTATATGTTATCGTGAACTTTAATAAATAGTCATAATAGGTGAGAAGCGAGCTTTGTGTGCTGAAGCAGGATGGCACCTTGTGTGACTGTTTCATACATCTGACTGCCTATAGCCACAATAATGGGTAAATAACTCTTCTAGGTACTGGTACGTTGACAGTATGAACAAGGGTCATATTTGCTGTGACAATGAAAGGAACAGTCATCTGTGACGGCCCCTTGTATATTAAGTGTGGCAATGAGGAATACTTACTCTAGAACACTGCACTTTCATCATTCCAGTAAAAACTCTATTTGCTCGTATGGAAATATTCACTGAAATGGCACTTTAATTTCAAGGAAGGGTATAATAAAACATTAACATTTTGCTACAGGGTCATGTGAAATCTGGATATTACCTTGTCCATTTCATTGGTAATCTTATATTTTACCTTGGTCAGCAAACACTTTGGGAGATGTATATGGAAGGGTATAAAACAAAATAACATTACTAGTTAATTTCTTCCGCAGTAATGAACAAATAGGGGTATATTTCTATACGATTCACTGAGTCATTTGTCCTGCAAAATTGCATGTACATTTGTACTGTTCAAATGGAGGCAGAAACAAATGTTATTAGTATATTTTAGTTCCAGGTTGAATGTAATATCAGGTAAATACAGAATTATGACCACTAGACGGAGCAGAGGAGCACAGAAAAAAATACTTATTTTCTATGCTCCCCGGCAACAGCTAGTGGTCATAATGTGGTATTACAAGGTGACATTCAAAAATAATGTATATTCAACTTATAAAGAAATATATACAAGAACGTTCATTTTTTGCATCCATTAGCACAGAACAAATATTCACGGAGGGCCAATGGCTCTGCAAATTGTGTATACATAAACCTCATACTGTAATCATTTTGTCTGTAAACTTGGTCATGGTCAGGCCACATTGGTCTGAAAATGTATCTGTAATTTCTGTTTTGCAGGGCTAAGGGTTACTGTACACTTGGCATGGAATTCTCTTTTCATAAGGCCATGTTCTGGAGAATTTAGTATTGTGCACCACCTTTACATTGCCACTCCCACAATAACCTCTCTTTGCTAACATGAGAGGCTATCATTTCACTTTTTTTTTATAATTTATAGTCTAAAGTTTGTTTTCTTTTGAACTTTAGCATAGCTAATTAAAAGGTAGTGTTTGTGTCATATGTCACATATATCACATTTTCAGGCATGTCATTACAGCCATAGCAACCCATGCTACTGCAATATAACCTGGGAAAACTGCGGTCCTCCCTATGCCAGGGGTGGCAAACATTGGCCTTCAACGTTTGCTACACCTGCTCTACGCCTTCTAACCTAAAAATATGCTGTGACCTGTTTCCTCTAATAAGACCTTCCTTCTAACTAAATGTTATTTCCTTCACTATGGCTCTTCCACTTTCTCTTCCCTTTGAGGAGCAAGATCTGCCAGTGGATAAGAAAGGCCCTCTTTGTAAAAAGCAAAGCTAGAAGCACAGACCTAGCAAAAGAGAAATATGCTTTAAGTGACAGCTTAATTGGTTGTTAGCTGCAGTTCACTGGCAAGCTGGTTTTACTGTTGCATAGTGAATTCTACTTCCCAACTATCCATAACAGGCACAGCAATGCAAAAATGCTTATTGTGTTCGGATGTCGGCCTTATATACACGTGTTTGAGGGTTGATAGGACCACTTTAATGCTTTGCAGTCTTTATACTGTATGCTAACCCTAACACCTAGCTTTTCTTATTTGCTCCTTTTTATTCTACTATATATACAGTACCACTGAAAGTGTCTTGTTTTATATGTTTGATAAGTGCAACTAGATACCTGTTGACTCTTTTAGAAATTCAGAGCTATCCTGTTCAGTAGGGATGCACTAATACTTTTCAGATACCAGCGCCGATACTTGGCATTTTCATGAGAACTACCAGGGTTGCAGCGGTTGCAGCTGGAACCTGGTTCTGGTGCTCCACCACTGTCCTGAAATCATTACTCTGGGTTCACACCTAGGCGTATCGAATATGCACGTTTAGTGACACGCGTTTTTACCGCGATTCGCGAGGGCTACTTGGCTGTATCCCAATGGAAACGCGCGACAAAAACGCCCCAAAGAAGCTCCTGTACTTCTTTGGGCGCAGGGCGTTTTGTAGCGCGTTCATACGGCCTGTAATACGCCCAGGTGTGAACCATACCCATAGGAAATAATGGGATTTCGGTGTTTGAGCGTTTTGCAGAGCGAAGGAACACGCTACAAAACGCCCTGCGCCCAAAGAAGTACAGGAGCTTCTTTGGGGCGTTTTTGTCGCGCGTTTCCATTGGGATACAGCCAAGTAGCCCTCGCGAATCGCGGTAAAAACGCGTGTCACTAAACGTGCATATTCGATACGCCTAGGTGTGAAGCTTTCACTTTCAATGAATGTGATAAGGTAGTATGACAAAAAGGATTTAACCCCGTCATATCCTTCTGTGTGGCCACACAAGCAGTAGATTAGACCTTGCTGTAACGCACATCAGATGTTTGTGACTGCGCAACAGCTATACACAGTGCTTACACAATATTTCAAGTAAAAGTCATATGATGAAACAGCCTTAAAGAGGCTCTACTTTCATGGAAGGGTGCCCTTTTTTAAAGTGACACTAAACCCGGGAGTTAAAACTTAAAAATACATTCAAGTACCCTAACTATTAACAAAAATGTAACTTATTTGTGTATCACTCGGCTGTAGATCCTCAAATCATTTCTGAATTCACTGATAGTGCCCTTCCTTCTGCAGGGTGGTTACTTTTCTTGCCCATGGTCCCTGTGTGCGTTGTAAAGTAGTCACCGCTCCAAATTCGCTCCTGTGATGCACTACAATCTCAATACAAATTAGTAAACTAAACGTGAGATTGTAGTACATCATAGGAGCGAGCTTGGAGTGGTGGCTACTTTACAACACATACGGACTATAAATAACAAAAGTAGCCACCCACCAGAAGGAAGGACAGTGTCAGCACCAATTCAGAGATGATTTGAGGATCTATAGCCGAGTGATACACAAATAAGGTTCAGTATTGTTAATAGTTAAGGTACTTGAATTCATTTTTAAGATTTAACTCCTGGGTTTAGTGTCACTTTAAAGTCATATGATGAAACAACCTTAAAAGGGCTCTACTTTAATGGAAGGGCACCCTTTATTTAATGATCCCTCTTAGTCACTCGCTCCCTGCTTGCCAACGGTGGGCTACATGTCCAGCTAAGGTTTACATCTTCTTGGTGGACTAAAAATATGTCTGCTATCAAGACACTATCAATACAATAATCCTATATATGTTTCAGGACACGCCATGAAAAATTGATCAATGTGGTTTTGGACAGAGATGAAAGGGGGGCATTATGGAAAGGATGATTTATCTATGTGTCTGCCCAGTTGGATCAGTCTATATCAGGGAGGCATCTGTGGTTTAAAGCAGATCACCCCTTCAAGTTAACACAGGCAACATAATTTCATTATTAGAGAATAGGTCTTTACCATGATTGGAAGCCACAGAAATACTTTAGTCAAAGCAAGAATGAGGGAGAATCGCTTCTGAGCATACAATACTGTCATGCTCCTGCACCCTCTCAGGCTGTGTATACCGTGCTGATCATCACCCAGGCTCCTCTTGCACACAGCCTCTGAGCTCACACAATTCTCATTGAAATTCTTCAAGGTTTTGCTGGCAGGATTATCAGGAGACACAGAGGAGTCGTTGCTGCCCAGTGGTGTACTGGGGGTTAGATAACCTTTAGCAATATCTTTATAGTTCAAATAAAGTAGCTGTTCCTGGCTGTCCGAACAAAGCAACTGGTGAGTTAAAGGAACAGAGAAGACTGTGAGAACACAGAAGCAGATAGAGTACAAAGCAAATAAAAACAGCGCATAAGAGCTACCACAGTCTATAAGGCATCCCCATGAGGTGGCATCAAATGCCCCCCAACCACAAAAAGGCAGCACGCTTATTAACAAACTAACAAGCCATGTGCTTAGAATCGCCCATAACATTTTCAAAGGGTTTTTTTCTGTTTTGTATTCTCCCAGTTTGGCAGATGTACAGAAGTTATAGGAAATAATGACAGATGCCTTTAAGTTACTGGATACCCCCTGAAACAGGTAGATGAAGGCAGCGGCAGTGCACAGGGGCTGGGATAGAGGATTGTTCGTCCATTGTTTCAGCATGAAGATAGAGACGGGTACCACGCTCAGGAAATCATCCACAGACAAGGAGGTCACTAGCACAGACAGGGTAGACTTGCTCTTTATCTTCAACAAGGACACCAATGAGTAAATACTGCCTGCAAGGACAATAAGTGTCAGAGTCAGCGTGAGACAAAACAGAAACACGTTTGGAGTAGACTGTGGTTTTGGCACCTCTGTAGTAAACCTGGAGCTGTTTGTGTATAGAACAGTTGTTGCCACAGACATCGTGGTAGCAGCAGTTTGTATCCTTCTAACACGTAACAGGACACGCTCGTAAAAAAGCAGCCATAACACTTCTTCACTTTGCTAATCCCTCTTCATCCATCCGCAAACTTACTTTGGACTTCTTCAATTGGCAGCTATTGTACTGATGCATTTAGTGTAGTTTGGTCCACTCAAGCCACAGTTTACATCCACTCGAAGAAAGGATGCACGGGAAAAGAACTGTACTTTAAACTGTACGGTTTGACACTAAATAAAATGTCCTATCATTTCCATGAAAGTTTCTATTCCACCTGGTGCTGGTTGTGGAAGGCGGCAGCATCTCATCAGTGCAGAATACCGCAGAACATGACCAGGTCAGCAGATCAGGTGCAGCGGGCACGCCGGAGTGCTGGACACAATCAAAGCACGTTCTCTGTGTGAGGCTGGTAGTAGAATGAGATGTTCTTTGAATCAGTCTGTTTTGTTCAGAGCTGCAAGAGGGTGGAGTCAGCTTCCAGTTCTCACTAGGAAGACGGATAGAGACATAAGGCTGATCTTTGTCATCTCCTCGCAGCAAATAAATGCAACTTTACAAAGTAGATCTTAGATGTTGTACAATATAGGCAGTTTGTCTTCAGTTTGCCTGCAAATAATTATATAGGCTAAACGGACGACTCTGCTGCAAGATGAATTGCTACAAATTGCTAATGTCATCGATGAAAAGAGATCTAATGTCACAGCATACACTTTCATTTTACAGGTGAAACTCGAATAATTAGAATATCGTGCAAAAGTAATTGCAGTAAGTGCTGCAAAAGGGGCCCAAACCAAGTACTGAGTACATATGCATGCTTGTACTTTTCAGAGGTCCGATATTGTTCTATGTACAATCCTTGTTTTATTGATTGCATGTAATAATCTACTTTTTTGAGGTTGTGGATTTTGGGTTCTTGGGGTTTTCATGAGCTGTAAGCCATAATCATCACAATTATGACAAATCACGGCTTGAACTATCTTGCTTTGCATGTAATGAGTCTATCTCATATATTAGTTTTACCTTTTAAGTTGCATTAGTGAAATAAATGAACTTTGCACGATATTCTAATTATTCGAGTTTCACCTGTATAACAACAGCATTGTAATAGCAATGCAAACGATAATTATTTGTAACAATCCAATATAAGCTTACATGAAAAAATCACCTTGTGAGCAGTGTGTCTCCTAGACATCTCTTTCATCAGCTTTCTGCATTCCCTGTAGGAAATTCATTTAAAATTTAAAGGCTATGGTCAACTCAATTTCTGAACTTTCCACAATGTAACATTATCATTGCTTGCTGGGAACCATGCATGATGGGCTATGTAGTCTTGAGAAATCAAGATTGCATCACATCAAGCAGCAGGGAAAGAGATGCAAAGCACACTGGGAATCCAGGAAGTTGGTGAAAGTGATGGGCAGACAATAGGCAACACTCACTACATAAAAGGGATTTTTCAAGTAGCTTTGATTGCATTATCAAAAATAACTCTAGTATGTATTCCTGTTAGACATGTGCATTCGGATTCGGACGAACTTGCAAATTAACGAAAATCAGTTGATTCGGCGCTTTGTCAGAATCCAAATTAACGAATTTAATATATGCCTGAATATACTAAAATATTATTCGGGCATACATAAATTCATTTTCAGAACATGCCGGAGGCCATATTGGCAGCCGGCGTGTTCTGTGCATGCCTGCAGCCATCTTGGAGGCGGAGTGTATGGCGTCACATGACGGTGATGTCACACGCTGAACGAGCGGTGGCCAGATCGGCCACCGGCGCATTCACGCCGCCATTTTGGAGTAGATCTTGGTATACACCAAGATGGTGGCACTCGAACATGCGCGTGCTGCCATCTTGGTGTATACCAAGAACTACTCCAAAATGGCGGCGCGCATGAGCAGAACGCGCTGGGGGTCGATATGGCCACCACTCAAACATGCGGTTTCGGATTTGGAGGCTCCGAATCCGAAAAACAGAAAAATTAGTTTTCTTTGACAAGCGAATTAAAACGTTTTCATTTGTTTCATCTGGAAACTATTTTTTTTGTTGTGCACATGTCTAATTCCTATTACAATGCTGATGTTATATGCTCTAACTTTAGAATTCCTTTACGGACTACATAACCCAATGGTACCATGCTGCCTGCAGTGATGATGTGTCTCCCATAATACCTCCTTTTCAGCACTTCTATAGTTCAGCTCCGTGAAATGGGTGATGGGGCATATTGAATATGTGTCACTGGGGATTCAGCCACCATCAAGAATTTTAGGTTTCCTCTTAGATGGTGGCAATAGATACCCTAAGATTTTCCCCTTATTTTGGGGAAAGGTGAAATGTTTCCCTTGAACCCGCCCTAAATGTCTTCCTTTTCCTCCTCACTACCAGCACTAAGCAGTTATGTAAAATTTAAAAAATCTATTACACACATGCAAAATATACGAGTCAAAGGCGCAGTTAGAGGGAACCTGGTTTTATTTCCTGCAAACTGGCACCAGGTTGCAGACTCCTAATCACTTGTATGTGAAAGAAAAAGTACAGAAATACTGTACAGAGTCTGTTATGTAGGCAGCTTTTCACAGTTTCAGAGAGAGACACCAAGCAGGTTATTCTGACTCCGATTGTTGTGATAGCTAAATATATGTCTTGCTGAGACCTCTATGCCTGGCCTGTATAAGCAGATATACTCACTGCGGACAATCCTTGTCAGATAGCTGAACTCGTCAATACCGATTCAATCAAAAGAGGTGTTTATTCTTAACATCAGGGTTACAGCAGATGATAGGAACAGCAGATGAATGACTTCAGTATTGTGCGGTCAGAAAATGATGCCTTTCCTACGTACTGTGCAGATTACATGTGTGTCCTTGTTACATGTGGCTTTTAACTGTGGCCATGACACAGGAAGTACTGCGCACAGGAAGAAGGAAGGGGCGTACACTAGGGGGAAATACGTCGTCACATGAGGAATAATTACAGAAAGCATGTTTGTTACAACAAAAGGCCACTAGATGGCAGCATAGGATAACACATGGATTTAGCTATGAGAAAATAGTTAGGCAAATCACACTATATAAATTCTAACCTATATAACAATGCTAATATTAACTGAGGCTATGCATCTCATATTCTATGCCCCTATTGGGGCGGCACACAGGTTATAATCTTAACTGATGGATTCGTCAATTTTCCTCCCTTTGTTCGAAAACCCCAATAAACACTCGGACTGCGCAACATGGATTTTAACGGCCACAGCAGCCCTTTTATTAACGGAACTATTCCTCCCCCCAGTCATGTAGTCCCTCCGCTCAGTCTCTCCGGGTCTGTCTAGAAATCCAACTCAGAGTGTATTATTTCACAGAAAAAGCCAGAAAAGTTGTATAGACTTGATGCACACTTTGTAGGCAGCTTTAGTAGTCCACAGTTTGGGAGAGAGAGACTAGACATGTTTTAAGCAAGGAATCAGAATAGGAGTGTAATGTTTTTATCGAAAAAAGCCACTAAAATGATAGTCAATGCACACTATGTAAGCATCATATGGTTTAGGCACATTTTCTCCTTTCCAGATGCAAAACCTGCCTGCTTCTTACTAGCTGTGTGTACAGAACCTATGTTTTTCCCTGCAGGCCTGTCTGACATTGTGAATAGAGTGGATTGCCTAACTTTATTAACAGTTAACGATATGCAACTTTTAGACCCATGCCCATTTTAACAAATAAATCCAGTCAGAATAAAACGTAACCCTTGCAGTGGGGCTACCCCTGCACTGCAAGAGTTACATTTTTGTTGTTTTCATCTAGGGTCTAAAATAACAAAGATATGCTCACCTGAATCTCGGTCCTGCCTGGCTGCTAGACCGGTCCTCACAGGTTTGAAGCTGTACTCAAATATTTCTCAAATTTATTAAATTATAAATATTTACCAATCTAAAATACAGAACTTTCTAGAGATTTTGGAAGGCCCACAATCAGAACATCAGTTTCTATATATTGTTTTTCTAGATTTATAAAAAAAAACAAAAAAACAAACACATTAATTTTGACTTTTGTGATATGTGCTTAGTAGCTGTGTGTCAAATACACAAACTACTTAATCTTACATGAAAGTGTGGAGCCAGCTTAAAGGCCAGCTAAAACCTTTTTTTTTTTTGTAGAATGTGGAAGTGTTTAAAACTCTGATGGATTAAGGATTTTGTCTGTGTACACATTAAAGATATTTCACTCACTTCCTGTTCTTTCTAATATTATTAATATTATTATACAAGATTTATATAGCACCAACAGTTTGCGCAGCGCTTTACAATATAAGGAAGACATTACAATCACAATACAATTCAAGACAAGATGGTAAAGAGGGCCCTGCCCCTGAGGGCTTACAATCTAAAAGAGAGGGAGAAGTGATACATGAGGAGGTAGCTGTGTGGCGATGAATTGTTTGAGAACGTGATGGTTCAGTGCAGTGGCGTAACTAACGCGGTCGCTATGGGGCCCGGGGCAGAGGGAGGCCTGGTCAGGAGCGGGCTAAGGCACTTTTTTTTCTTAGTACCACAGCTGCACAGACCTTTTCAAGCAACTGTTGTGTGCCTGCAGCCACTAGGTGGAGTGATCTTCGGCTGTGCCTTCGGTTCTGACATCAGAGCCAGCAGAAGAAATACACAGAGAACTTCCAACACAGTGAGTAGAGATCGGTTAGTAAGCTGTCTGCCCTAGTGCATTTCCTCCCTCTATCTCTCAGAGATAACAGATGTGACAGTTTACCGATTAACCTCTGCCCAGCTGCACTATTCTCTTGTCACCTTTCATTCTCTCATGGTGTCATAAAAGTTCTCTAGATGTCCAGTATTGTTGAGCCTACACTGCCCCCATGTCTGTGCACTCATTATTTCTGCTGCACTTTGCTTCAACTCTATAGATGAATCTCTGCAGGAGTCTCATGCCATGCTCCGCTGTGACTAGTCTTGTCATCATGGCCATCCATATCAATCAGCACAGTTCCTCTACAGTCATTCTTCTCTTCATCTGCATTGTCACCGGCTCTCTTCTGTGACATTTTATCTCTTATATTCTTTTCTTTTTTATATTCTTTTATCTCAGCTTCATCCTGACACTGCTCCCCTACTTCTCTCCATCCTGACACTGCTCCCTTTTATCTCATCTTCATCCTGACACTGCTCCCCTACTTCTCTCCATCCTGACACTGCTCCCCTACTTCTCTTCATCCTGACACTGCTCC